AGTGAACAGTAGATTACTCACAGTGTATCAATCGTGCAAATCTGGCCAGAGCGCAGTTGTCGTGTTTGTGCATCGTTACCTCAACTTGATGTTGCTATTGGGCACCGCACACCAACACGTCTCAACAGAGCAGCACTGAGCACAGCCAATCAGTGTGCTGCAGATGACCCACCCTGCGAAGGGCACCAGCATCTTGGCAGTCTCGCACTGTCAAACACACAGCTCTCCTGCAGAAGGCAACAGCCCAGAGGGTAGGCTGGGCTGCAAAATCTGCTGTGAAACCTTACCTCTCTTGGCGGTCCCATTCTTGCAGCTTTTTGTCATAAGCACGGTCTTCCTCCCTTTGCTTCGCTTCTTGTTCGCGCCGCTCTTGCTGCCTCTTGCGATCAAATTCCCGTTCCATTGTCCTTTCCTTGCTCCTTCCACGATGGTCATTCCGCTCCCTGTCCTCCCTGTCCCTGCTCCCAGTCGCCGAGTCTGGCTTGGCGACTGCAAGAGCATTCAAAACCTCCGCTGCCCTTTCCTGGTCAGCCTTGTGCTTCTTTATCTTGTCCTCTCTGTCACTCACAATGGCCATGATCTTTTCCAGGACCTCGTTGTCCCGATCCTCATCAGCATTCCCAGGAGCCTCCCCTTCCTCCTTCTCTTCTTGCTTTTCAGCTTCCCTGGCCTCTTTCTCACTTTCATAAGCCTCAATGTATTTCTGGGTGGCAGTGTTGCATTTCACCAGCAACTCTTGACCATCCAACGCCAGGTTGTTCAGCAACCGAAGCGCCCGAAGGACCCCTTCAGCATCCTCAAACTCGCAAAACCCGAATCCTTTGGGCTGCTTGGTTTCCGGATCTTCTTGGCGTTTCCAGGACTTCACACCTCCACAAGCCTCCAGTAGTGACTGCATCACGCCATCATCCACGCTGTTGGCAATTTTCCCAACATACACGCTGGTGCTCCTGTGGACCATGGACATGCTTGGAGGGGGCGTCCTCGGTGCCCTGGGACCTGGCGATGTGTGATGGAAAGCAATTCTGCTGTTAACACATTTCCAAACAAAGGCGGCTGGCCACTCGGCCAGCACATGAGTTCAACAGGCCTCACATCGAGTGCACTGTCATGGACAAAGAGGCAAAGAGACAAGAATCTCATACAACTGGAGTCAGCACCATGGTGCACACTCTTGCCCTTTGTAAGTCTCCAATTCTGACATCAGTGCAAGCATTGAAGAGCAGCACATGCACCCAGCATACACAGCAGATGAGCGATAACTCATAAAGCAACAAGTGAACTGCAATGGCGACAGCAGCAGATAGTTTTCAGCAAGCGCAGGTATATTGTGTACACAGAAAATGGCCAACTGTGAAGTTGTGCAGCAACAGGTGTAATGGGTTGCCTCACTGACAATAGCCATCACTGAAGTGCCAGCCACACTACAGCACATGCGCATTTGAAACATTAGGTGTGGTTGCCTCAGGGCACTGTAGCAGCCAGGTCATTCAATGCAAGGGGCGCTGTCCATATCTGCGATCAGTGGGGAGCTGTATGCAGATTCCAAAACCTCCAACCAGGCATCCTGAAGCAGAATGCAGCAGTATCTGCTCCAAGGACTTTTCAAGCAAGTGCAGCAACAGCAAACGTCAACGTTACCAAACAGTGCCTCTTCCGCCTGATCACAGATGCAAGCCAGAAAGCGTGCTGATGGCCTTTCCTTCACAGTGTACCAGATACAAGGACCCCACCCCCCATGAGTCAATTCTCCTGGCTTGCACAGAACAACACGCACACCGAAGATCTTCGCAATCAACGGAATCTGCCCGCCGGCCAAGTGCCACGCGCCCCCACCAGCACCGCAGGCGGATCACCCATGCGCCCCCCCCCCTCCCCACTCACCTCCCGCCCGTGCCATTGTACCTGGATAAGTGCGCTGCCTGCCTGGATTGCGGGGAGGCACTCCTCCTGGCGTCATCGGTGGACCAGGCATTGGGGCTCCTGGGTACATGGGGCGCGGGGGGGCTTGGCCCATGGGCGGCACACCCACTGCCACAAACACATTCCAACCCTTGTGAGCATCGCGAACAACAGCGGCCGTAGCTTCTGCTCGCACCAGCGAAGCCCGGGCGATGCGCGATTGCACCCCAGCAGATGCGCGTGTTTCCCGCCGCCTGAACCCACGCTGCCTGCCCCCGGAAGGCCGGGGCGGTGGCTGCTGATGTGCGCTCACCCATGGGCACGGGCGCTCCCGGAGGATAGGGCTGCATCGGAAACGGCGCTGGCATCGGCGGACGCGGCACGAAATAGCCGGGAGGCGGGGCCAGTCCCGGCCCTCCTGGGGGCACCGGGAAGGGGGGACGACTCATTGGCGCGGGGCCTGCAGTCGCCCACTTAATGCCCAAACAGCGGGCGGCAAGGCGCCTTCAGGAGCCACCACGGGCTTTGGCAGCAGTCGCCTGGCCGGGGCTGCGCTGCGGACGCCCGTTCCCCGCGCCTTCCCGCCACGGCACTCGCTGCGGTCTGGTGCGATGGAGGCCCACGGCGGATGTGTGCTTTGCTACATCCCGGTTTTTTGGCGTCGAATGCTTTTAGTATCAAAAAAGGCATAGCACAACAGACATCAAAGAAAAGATGGGCTGTGATGGGCTGTGACCCGTCATTAGACGTGTTGTCTCAGGACGAAATCGCCGGCACCCCAAATGCACGCAAATGTATTTGCTGCTGCAAGCACAGAACGCAGGGTCCACAGCATTGGTATTCACTGCGCCACGTGCTGCCGCACAGAGCGTTGCGCGCTCATTCACGACGGGGATGTGAATGCCGTGTTGGCCTCAGGGTGCCGGCCGTTGGTGGACGCATTCCCGCAGGCATTGGCAGAATCCGATCTGGACCCTGTTCGAGTTCCCACAAAATGCAATTGGTGCAATGTTGTTGAATCACGCTTCATGGTGGCGGTCGCGCACTCCAGCCTACGGAATGCCCAGCAGAGAGTGAAGCCTCAGGCTGCAACGAAAGCATGCTGAAGACGCGAAGGCACATGTAGTGGCACCACAACGGGGCACTCCACCACAGCCCCAACACCAAGGAACACAGTCACAGACTGCTGACCTCTTCACATGGAATAGAACACATAGAAACAATCTTTTCACTCGTTTGTGGCCGCCAAATACTCGGCGACTCTCCTCTGGCATCTGTAACTGACAAGGAACCCTAGAAGCCTGCCATCGTCTCAACTCAGCACCTCCACATTCACATCTCGGTGGCAATTACAATACTTGTGGGTAAACAAAACTTTCTTCCCTTTTCTGCATCCATCCTTAAAAATCCCACCAAACGCAGTTTGCACCAGTGACTCCACAAGTGGTCAACATGTCTCTCCATTTGCCCTCTCCATGACACTGGCGACCACCGCAAACCATGGAAGCCCTTCTGTCATGGTTCAAAACTCGATTAAAGAATACCATCGAAACTCCCGTGCAGGGTGCCTCTACTTCCACCAAGGAGCAGAGTCCGTGCGGAAATCTGTCTCCGTCCTGTCACAACAGCCAGCGCCAGTAAGCAATACGCGACGATCAAACCCTCTCAAGGCAAACGTCCGAAATAACTGTTTTCAACGATCTGCTGTGCATGTACAGCCAGGGGTTCCCAGGACAACTTGTTTCATGCCAGTGTTGCCATGCATGTCCCATCAATAACACCAATGATCCAGCCCCCCAAAGCAAAGGACGTGAGTATGGATTTATGCTTACGAACAGCAAATGGCCGAACACAGCAACGTGTCACACATGTCTGCATCAACATGAACTAAACTAAGCTGCATTCTTCCACAAAAGCTTTTACCCCAACCCCACGACAGCATGGCAGGAATCGACTACACTTAGGGAACTACACCCCACTGGCAAAACAGTGAATAACAACATCCTACCATACACAGCACAGATGGATGCCTAACTGAAAGGTCGAGCAGGAACAGGAACAACATCACCAATGTGAACAGCAGAAGTTACAATCAGCAGGAAACTGCAACACATGCACAGGTAACCAAAGAGCCAATCCACACACTACCTACCATGGGCTGAACTCAACAATTCCATCATCGTTGACGTCAGCATGAGCTAGTGCCAGTGACAAGGGGGCAGGGCCTCTCACAACTTTTCCTTGTGCATTGTACTGCGAGCCGTGGCATGGGCACTTGAACTTGTTCTCAGCCTGCAAGCACCAATTCCAGTAACATGACCACCCAACCTGCAGGACAAAGACATCACCACAAGCAAAAAAAAAAGGAAGAAATTCCAAACATACAGCAATGTGTGCTGCGACCGTGCCATCGCCTGCTGACCAACTATGAGAAAAGCGCGGGTCAACAGTGTTGGTAATGTCTAGAAGACCATCCAGGTACGTTGACAGCTGCACAGTAGATGATACTCACCGTCACCCACGGCACAACACACCCCAAGTGTGTGCAGACACCATTGATGCCAAACTTCTCAATGCTCTTGTCTTCAGTGACGACCAAGTACGTGGGGTCACCCTAAACATCACACCCACACACATCAACCGATATATCAACGACTGTGCGCCACAAACTCTCATTCAGCGACCATCTGCTTGCACGGCTGCTACATACTGCCATCACAGTGGAACTGAGGTGGTTTGAATATCGTTGCGCTTACTGATTCTCTCTTGCAATCAACTTGCAAAATCTGCAGTCTCTCCCAAAGAAAATGCCCGAGTACAGCCTATCAACAAGCGTCAGCAAAGTGGCAATTTCAGGTTTGCGCAGATCTCATGGGTCTTCCTACCACACCTTGAGCCCCTGAGTGAGAGACCTATCGCCTGGGAGATGAGTCTTCACCCACTCACTAGCCTTGACGTCGTTGCCAAGCGCATCCTTAGCAGCCTGAGCACCGCCACCGCCACCAGCCCTGCTCACACATGACAGTCCTGATTGCTTCCACACTCCTTCAAGACATTCCCGGACCCAATTTCACTCTACCCTACAAGGGAAACAGGACATCGAATGGCCCGCCGCCCCCTTTCTCTCTAGTGATTAAACTCAGTGGCTCGTTTCCAGGTGAGTTAAAATGATGTTGTTGGCCCCCATTTCACTTTGCCAACAACAAGCAATGGGATTGGCCTCAGAAAACTTTGGGAATGGTTCTTTGACGACACGACATGCTCGATCCAACACGCTTAAGCAGTCCTCAAGGTCGCAATGCCGTCGCCGCGGATCGCCTCCCGCCCTCCCGCCCTCCCGCCCTCCCGCGTCTGCGCTCGGCGACCAAACAATCCGGCAGGGCACAAGCCCCATCCCGCCTCGGTTCCCAACCCCGGCGCAATGCCGCCCACAAAAGCGCGCCCTGCTGCCTTCCAACGGGCGCCGCAGCCCGCCCGTCCGACCCTCGCCCTACCCCTTCGGCACGAAGAAGTAAAAGAAGGGGCCCGCCAGGCCCAGCGTCACCGAGGTGGCCCCTCCGAGCAGCACCAGGTTCATCGTGTTCCTCTTGTCCATGTCGGGCACGTCCGCCGCGGCGATGGACGCCATGCTTGTCACCCTCCTTGGGGCAGCCGCACCACCCCGCGACCTGATGGTCAGAGGCTTCAATCCCCTGACACCGGGGCAGCCCTGGGCGGCCGCCGGCATACGCAGGCACGACCGCGACGGCGCGGAGGAGGAGGCCATGCTGGGTCGGTGCGGCGGCGGGCAACGGCCTGCGGCGAGCCCTCCAGGCGACGCGCTTTTTGATTGCGGGAGGGAGCAGGCGGGGACAAGTCGGCGCAGGGAGGGCCACAAATCTTTGGGCGGCGATCAGGGGGTGCGGTAGTGGGCTAGGGCAGGAAGTACTGGGGGAGAAATGGGAATGACGTTTGTGTAATGAGTTGTGAATCGGGGAGCAGGGAACCAAGAGGCAGCCGAGGAGGTGGCGATGGCTACGAGCGGGACCCTGCAGGCAACGCCCAGGAAGCAGTTGCGGACATGGGGCTGGCGCGGGTAATGATTTTGTGATAACGGAGGTATGGGTGCGCATGCCCAAACGAGTCGAGAACGCAAGGGGCGCAAAGTATCGAATCATTCGCCCTTGGGCTTTGTTGGGCCGGTGGACCGATGATTCGGCTTGCGGAGGCATTTTTATCGTGGGCGGTGGCCTTCGTTTGGCGGAGACTCGCACGCCTGCTGGAGAGGCCCATCCGCTGCAAGCGTGCGCTGCTGGTCACGGCCCACCCCGATGACGAGACCATGTTCTTCGCGCCAACCCTGCTGAGCCTGGACGAAGCTGGCTGCGATACACACCTGTTGTGCCTGTCAAAAGGTCAGTGGACGCAGAACGGCACCTCAGCGAGACTTTGCGTGATCCTTGACCTGGCTTGCTCTATACATCTGTGACCAATGATTGAGTGGCCAATTCAATTTCAACTGCGGGATTGACCCTCAAAGAGTTTTACAGCCTGGCGGGCAGGTAGATAGAACATACGCCGCAAAGTCCTTATGAGCTGTCTTTGTCCGCTGTTGTGCCAGCTGCCATTGGCCTGTCGAAATTAGTTGGGGCAACTGGAGAACGCTCCGGCTATGCCGGTGGCATCTGTGGCGTCACTGGCAATCTCGACGCTTGCACATGGTCCCGTGTCAGTGCACACAGTAGACAGCAACCATATCAGCTTTCGTTCGTCATCATGGGCATCCACAAATGTGTCAGGTGACGCATATGGACTAGGAGATACAAGGAAGAATGAACTCTTGGATGCCTGCAACGTTTTGAAGGTATGACAGCCATCTCTGTTGTTCCATGTGCACGTGGGTGCTGTTCCCTGCAATGGTGGTTTTGGTTTTGTTCTTGAACGTGGGCATTATCCGCTGCTCACTCCTGTGTGAAGCTATCGTTTCCCACAATAGGAGCTTGCACTCCCTTAGCCAACAGGACTCTTTTGTGCCGTGCTTTAAATGGTGTGCAAGAACGCTCAGCCTGAAACTTGCTGGTGTTTGAAGATGTTGCACTGCAAGTCGTGTTTTCTTAATCTTCCTTTCCTTGTTGACAAAAGTTCTGGATGTCCTGTAGGTGCCGCCAATCAACGTCAAAGTCATTGACCATGACAAGTTGCAGGTGAGACACAGTCCAAGGTGTCTCACCTTGTCTCACCAAAATTTTCACTGTGGGCACTGAAATTTGGTGTTTCTTGCTAAACCAAGATGTGTGACATGCACACGTGGGGTGCACAGAGTCCAATGGCACTTATTGAAATCCAGATGTGGTTCTGTCCAAATGAAACCCAAGGAACTCCTTTGTTCTTCTTTGGGACAGGCATGGAGCAATGGTGCAGCCCGTATCTTGATGTTGGTGGACATGTTGTCAAATTGAAGCACAAGTTTGGCACAGATACTTTTGATTGCAGTTCAGCACCCCCTGTCACAACCATGACAAACTGACAGGCATTGGTGTTAGGATGGCATGCAGGAGATCTGGGATGAAACGACCATCAGCGCCCTTGTGGCAGAAGAGGTGCAACGCCATTGCATTGACACGGTGTGACTTCGTTCAGGTTTTCTTTGTTGAGCAGTCCCTGAGCTTCGTAGGAGACGCTCACTCAACTGAGTACGCTGTGGCAGATTATTACCTTCGATGCACATGGCGTCTCTGGACATCCCAATCATTCAGCAACTTTCAGGGGGATTATGTAAGTGCCTTGGAGCAGCCACCTTTGAAGTGAGCAGGGAGTTGGGCTGTAAGCTGTGTTGCTGTGGTCAGAGTGAGCCCTGTTGTGGCCTTTGCAACTACAAATTCACTTGCAGGTTGCGCAATTAAGCTGTTAACAAATGGGCACACTGAGCAATGTGTGCACATGTGCTCCTTGTCCACCCTGTGTGCAACAATGTCATTTCCCACAGCATGCTCTGTCAATCCTGTTCTTATCTCATATGTCGATGGTCTGCAGCTGTTGTCATCCTTCCATTAAGAACCTGGCGCATCTTCGATTCCCACAAAATATGTTCATGTTAAGGCTTGGAAAAAATTGTACCAGGAAAGACATAGCGTACTTTGGCATGGGCCCATACCTTCTGTAGAACAAGTTGAGGGCACAACAAAAGGCCCCCCATTATCAGGGAAGAACCATCGCAGCTTTAACAAGGGCAGCATTTTTTGGTCATGAACAAGCAAGATGTGCTGGTGCTGAGTTTGGGTGCTGAAAATGCTGTGAGCATCAGCAGCATTGTGCCTCATTGGCTTTGTGCTGATGTTAAAGGTTGTATCTGCAAAGCCAAGAGGGACAAAAGGAACGGCCCTGCGTCTGGACTTTGGTGAGAATGTCAAGTTGACAATTTACATTCACCCTGCACTGTGACAAGCCAGAGGACATCTCACCCAATGAGCAACACGGCAGACTTGTGCAGCACTGTTCATGTACAGCAGGAAGCACTGTGCACAAGACCACACTGTACAAGACTCTTCACTTACGTTGCTGCCTCAGACATTTGAACCTGTTCTGTGACATCGGCCAGGTGAGCTGCAGCGTCTTCCGCCAATTTTCTGGTGTGGTGAACATCCCCGCCACCTGGCTGATATCACATCCTTCTGCTGCAGTCATCCTGACTCGTGACCCTGCAGCATCTTGGATGGCTATGCGTCAGCATGCCAGTCAGTGGGTATGGTAAGTGCACACTCTCCTTCACAGCATTGGACCGTACAGGGCTCAGGGTGGTTAGCACAAGGTCGCTGCCTTTGCCTTTAGAAATCTATGGGCGTTCCCTGAGCAACTGATGACTGGAAGCCATATGGGAGTGGCATGGTGCAGTCCTTATAAACTTGAGCAGATATGCGTGTGGCTACACCACATGAATTGTTTCTACGGAAGTACGCATCGCTGACCAGCTGATCCTGTGGGATTGAGGCACCCTACATTTTGAAACCACACGGTGAACACCCAGATCAACACAATTTTGGCACACCTGAAGGGAGCCACTGTTCAAACAGCCAATCCTACGACTGTGTTGCAACAATGCAGATTTCGCTCCGTGAATGGCGCCAGCGACTTGTAAGGCGACATGTCCCTGGCAGCTGCAATCCTGGGCACCTGAGTTCCAATGCACAGTGCTGGAATAGGGCACGTATCAAAATGGGTGCCAAACAGACCTGTCTCATAAATGCCACCCGAACAACAGAGGTGTTCCTAAGCCGAAGCCACAAAACGACACAATTGTCACAGGAGAACCTATGTGGCGCACAATGGTAATGTCACCTCCCTGGCGTGGGGTCCACAGGTTTCGATGGCTGTTCATCGCATTTTCATCATATGTGTACATCAACGCGCTGCTGCCCATCCAGTTCAGTTTGAGTGGGAGTCCACAAGCTGCTGCAAAGGGTGGACGCCAATCCTCTGTTGAGCACTGTACAGGCCACAAGGCAAGGAAGGAATGACCTTTTGAAGCTTTGCCATTGAAGACACTCCTCCAAGGATCAACCTTGATGGATAGTCTGGCAGTTGATCGCATTAGCCGCGGGGGCTTCTCCATCCCCACTCTTTAACAGCTGTGCTTGCACCTTCGAGCATTTATAACCGTGAGGACTCTGAAACAATGGAGGATTCAAGCACACTGGATACTCAAATGAGGACACACGTATGCAGCATTCCTTGCAACATTTCTTCTGTGGCACAGGGCGATCATGCCAAACAGCCTGACTTTACAAACATTGTCAGGAGGCAAAGAAATGGAGATTGCAAAGCATACTGTGTTCTTCTCATACAAAGTCGGTGGGTGCAGGGCGCTGCAAACCTGCTCCCATCACCAGTCGCCAGCCAATCTGCAACGACATCTCATCCTGTTGTGTTTTATGTTGTTTTCGAATCTATTCGGCTGGTGCTGGGAACTGGGAACCTGCTACCATCACCCGTCGGCCGCCAATCTGTCATGACATCCTACCCTATCTTGCTAAGACTGATTTCTCGAATTATCGAATTCTCCAATTATTCGACTCGCCCTGGCACTGCAAATCTGCTGCCATCTCCAGTCGCCTGCCAATCTGCAATGACATTCCCATCTTATTTTGCTGAGACTGAATTCTCTAACTTATTCACCTGGTACCGGGCGCTGCAAAAGCTGCTAGCATCTGAGGTATAATTGTGAGACCACAAGCACAGCATTGAAACAACTGTCAACAATTGCAGCAGTGCTTTCCACGCCAGGCTTGCACTCTGTCCAAAAGCTGCCAGATTGAATAGCACCATCTCCAGCCAAAATCCCGCTCAAGCGAGTGCTGCAGACTGTCTAACACTTACAGAAGTGCCGCCCCCTGCATTGTGCATCTTTTGGAGATACTCCAACACCAAATCAACGCAGTGGTTGCGAACTTGCTACAGCACGCAACAACCAATCTTTCCAGGGGGGCGCAAAGCATCAGCGACTACTATATCATGAGCATGGAAGGATGGAACTTGGCCCTTTGGGTCAAAGCTTGGCGCATCTTGTGCAACCTGAGCTGAACATTTCGCACATGCAGAGAAGTCAAGCTCTCCTTCTCTTCCTGTTCTCTCGTCTGCCAGTACTCTGGAAACCTGCAACACCATAGTACTCAAATCACCTGTTTGATAGGAGGTTCTCCTCTGAGAGCACTCGTAAACTACAAATGGATGCTCGCTGTGTTTTCAAGGCCGTTTCTGTATCAAACTATGCACTCCAAGGCATGGTGTTACATTGTCTATGGCTTACTCTACTTTCTTGGAGCAATGTACACAGCAGGCCAAGATTAACAAAAGGGCATTGAGCAGCGAATATGGTGTGGATGTGGCACAATTGTTGTCACATCATCGTTCCCCATTCAGCTTGACTGTTGAATTGTGCAACAAGCCTTGGAGGCTTGCTCACCTCTGTTGCAACGTTGTTGACAACACCTTCAGGTGTTTTGCGCCTGCTGCCACATTGTCACTGCGACACTCCGGGCACCTTGCAGAAGCAGGTATGCAGGACAGCATGTTCCCTGCTGTGCCCAACCGACGTCCACAGCCAAAGGCATCAAACAGGCAGCTCTGGCAAAAGACATGCCCACAGCCAAGCGCCAGTGGTCTGAACAACGTGTCCAAGCATATCGGGCACTGAAAATCTGAGTTCCTGGATACACCATCCTGCAGAATGCAAACTGATGTCAGGGGAGCGTTAAGTGTAGACCCACAATCGGCCTGCATTGGGCCAGCAGGGCTTGCAACACATTGATACAAGGCAGGCATACAGGATTCTAAATGGCATCTCACCACACAGGTTTTTGGGTTGCAGCTGGGGATTGTACACAAGGACACAGCAACCGAGAAGTTGACTTGAACAACAGCAGGGCTGCCACAATGCGGCACGCATGCCTACCCTGGAGCTGTTGCAAAGACGTTCATGGGGGGTTGTGCATGATTTGTTGGCTGCCCAGGCAAGCTCCACAGCAGCCAGTTCAGCCAGCAGCGGTGAGTGCAGGAAAGATGCCTTTCCAGACTTGTCCTGCCACAATCCCCGCAAATATTCCTGGCCCCTCTCATTGGCGTGCAGTTTGTGGTGCTCCTCCGTGAGCAACCTCACCGCCACAGCGTTGTCCTGGACAATAAGGTTGCCCCGTTGGTTTAGACACAGCAGCTGCTATGGTTCCCATCCAAGATCTCACTCATAGCTTGAACATGGCAGCAGTCTCCAGATCACTATTTCCTTCTGTTGGCAGAGCACGTGAACCAACACTGCACTGCAGGAACGTGGCGTGCATCTGTGCAACCAAGAGTGTTGCAGCAGAGGCTACATTTGTCCATTAGTACATATGACCAGAGCCCCTGTTGTCATATTTCACAGTCAAGGTGTGTGCCGAAACTGCCTTATGGATCTTTCGTTTGGTGATGTTCACACACCGCTTTGCACAGCGATTGTCCATGATAGCTGTAGTGAAAGTGGCGCGGCCTGCCCCTCTGCCATGTACCCTCACAAACAATGTGAAATACGACACGCTCATCATGGCACATGTCTCTACCTAACCCATATGATCAGAGAGCATCAATTCGCTGGCAGTCACCATGACCTCAACATGCCTGTCTAGCACACTGCCACGCAAAATATTCAAAGTTATATCCCACAGGATAACAGATTAAATACAACATGGACAAAATAGGTTTGCACTCGTAAGTTCTTTGTAACTGACGGCGCACGAAAGATGCTCACCTTTGCAAACTTGATAGCTGCCCTGGCATAGACACATATGTTTCTTGTGCCGACAGTTGCCTTTGTGTTGGTTGGCCAGGTGCACACTGAAATCTCCGCCTTTCTCTTGTTGAACGGGTTCCACATCTTAGAACCCCATCTGAGCGTGTCGCAGGCAGCGATTATGGACTCAGCACTTGTCTCGAACTGCCTGCATAATCAGAAACAGATGTCCACACATTTTGCACGCTCGTTTGTGGAAGTGCCCTTTGTGGTTCAAATGTGCAAGATCCACATTTCAGGAGACAGTTCAGTTTCAAGCAACTACGAGTGCCGGTCCTGTGATCTGGCCACATATTGTATTCCCGCAAATTTGAGGGTTTGCTGCAATCGAATCATATCGTGGCAAGCATTCACAAATGTCCCATGTTAGAAGTCTGAAACTGACAGCAGGAATATCACAGAGAGTTTCATTGAACTAACCGCATTCACAACATAGGTATGAACAAATCCCTGGGATAACATAACTGCCACTGGCAACTGTCGGAACTGCGCAATTTCAACACATCTGTATGGATGATGAGTCACTGGGTGACTCTCCACAGGAGCGAGGATGTGGAGCCACACGTGGGACGAATCGACCTGGTACCCTCAGATGAGAACAACCTGCCACGCAGAGAGCGCCGCTGTCTTGCCCTGCAGTCTGGCTTGCAGGCGATGTACCCCACGTCCCGTACCGAACAATCAAGCACTAAAAAGTCCACTTCGCCGACAAAAGCCTTTTCGTTACTTACACGCTAACTTACAGTACTTGTTCGTACCACTTTTTTCTTGAAAGCTCTCAAGGACTCGACGCCCTCGTGACGCCCTGCGCTGCGCGCTGTACTTTCCGCTCAACAGAAGCGCCACCACTCCCCTGTCGAGACCCCCTCGCATACCTCGTACGGGTCCAGCGGGCCGCGTCAGGACGGCCGCGGCAGTACGCCCCGCGTCCCATCGCCCCGCCCGCCACGCGCCCTGCCCTCGCCCCCACCCTTCTCCCGCCACCCGCCCACCCACCTGCTCAGCCTCTCGACCTCCTCCTCCAGCGCCTGGAAGAACTCGTCCTCGCCGACGCCGTTCAGGATCTCCCGCAGGTGATCGCATCTCAGCGAGGCGCACTGCCACCCCTCCGGACACCGCCCCTCCCCTGCGTCGTCGGCCACCCACCGGGCCAACCGCCGCGGACCTGCGCCAAGCGGGAATCGCATGAGCGACGCCGCGGCCACGGTCCCTGCTGCGCTGCACCGCGCTGGGCCTGTACCTGTGGCGCGCTGGGGCCCGCAGTAAGGGCGACTGATACAGCAGGCTGTTGATACGGCTTTTGATGTTGGCTTTCACGCAGCTGCCTCGGCCTCCGAGGGAAGTATTTGTATTGCCGGCCGGCCGCCGGCGGCGGAGAGCCACGGGAAGGGAAGCGGGCCGAGCGATTGGGCTGGCGAGTTGTGGCGTCGGCCTGGCGCGGGCAAGCAGGATGCGCTAATGGCCTTTAAGCGACCGTGGGGGCGTGGGAGGGGCGCCGGGCGCCGGGGACTGCGTTTTTGGATGTTGCCGTCAAAAACTGTCCAGAGCGAGCGCCCAGGAAGGAAATCTGGATAGTCAACCTTGGGCCAGCGGGCCTGACGCCTGGATCGGATGTTTTCCGCTGGGGCTTGAACGCAGCCGGGACGGCACCGGTGGCCCCAATGGCTCGGACACGCAATTCACGCACGGGAGCCCCGGCGCAGCTGGGATAAAATCCGTCATTGACTGTGCGTGGGCATTGGAGCGCCGGGCTCGCGGACAGGGTGGGCGCGGACACTTGCGCCTGGGACGGGCGTAGCGGGCGACCCAGGCGGTTGATGGTGAGATCGATGGCGCGCGAGAGCGCCTACGCACCGGAGGCCATGGACGTGGCCGGCCACTAGACAGCTCCGGCCCTGGGAACAGCCGCTGGCGCCGCCAGCTACTTGAAGACCGCCTGTCCAGCCCGTATCAGCCCTCCGGAGGAATATTCAGCGCAGTGGTGCCCTGTGGCGGCGCAGGGTGGGTGCAGGTCTGACATCAATTTGACCACGTGCAGGCGCTCGCTCGCGATGTCAGTGACGACCTGGGTCACGAATGGATGACGCTAGAGTTGTGTGCCAGCGCCCCCGAGCCGTTGCTGAGGGCACACTGGTGGTCCGTTGATGGGACTGGCGTTGCTCACTAAGGTGGGCATAAAATTACTGGCTGCACCAAATCGGTGACTTCTTGCACCAAGTCACGTGGACATCATGTCCAACTCCGTCCAAACTAACCTAACCTAAAACCTAAATCCTAAAATCTAAACTAAACCTGTCCTAACCCTAACCCTAACCCTAAAACTCACCCTGAAACTAAACCTAACCCTAAAATTGAGGTTAGGACAAAGTGTCACGTGACTTGGTGCAAGCAGTCACCGATTTGGTGCCGGCAGTGATATTTTTTCACTAAGGTGTAAGGGCGAGATATTTGTGTGCCCCAAGCCGGGACTGTGGGGGTGGTTGTTACGCATTGCCAAGGATTCGCCATGGCGCAAATGCTGCACGATGGTGTTGGAACAGCTTTTGAGTAGAAATCCAACTTCTGGACTAGATTACTAATAGCCTACTACTAGTCTGGAACCAGACGTCCCACTCCGGTGCTTTCGGCCCCCGGGTCGATTGAATCGTGACTATGGTAGTGATGCGGTGGCAGCCATGGTGCAACAGGGTCGACGCCTTCGTCCTTTACCTCCGCAATTGTCAACTCTGGGGCAACGCCCCTGGCCCTTGGTGCCACTGGGAGACCCCGCGAGATTGTTTCTTCTGGCCTGTTTGTTGTTTCCACCCCTACATAGATCTGTTGTGTGTGCCCCGATCCCCGCCGGAATTATATGTCCATTTGCAGCCAATTCACATGCACACTGACTGTTGCACTACAAGGGGTCCTAATCTATGATGCTGTACTACCAGTGTCCATTAGTAACGGCTGTTACACCCCACCCTCTCTACTGCTGTGTCGCCCCCACCTCATGTTTCGTCTCAACCTCCTTGTGTGGCCTCTGAGCATACCCTGGATTCGTTGCGGAATTTTAAGTGTTCTCAAAAGCGCAATATCCACTTCACAAATCACTCCATCACTGGTTCCCATGAAGTTGAATTTGCTCCCTCACGACCTGTTGCACATCCAAATTCGCGTCTATCTTCATGGTCATTGAGGGAAGTCGATTCTTCTTCTACCGTTTGTACCCATGATCCATAAGATAAGGGTGCAGTCTCTAAATCTGAAACATGGGTTAATTCGCAGCGCCGTGGGCAATTCCAATCTGTAATCTATGGGCAGATGGCTTACAAGGTGGCTTCTATCACCTTCGTGTCTCCAGAACAAACTTATGAAAGTTTGCACACCTGATCTTCAAACAGTGATCCCTTGGTACTGGGAAGCACCAATAGGATTCCGCGAATCGCCCATCTCGTTAATGTCGCTCTGCATTTTGGTTTGATGTTCCTCTCCTGCAGAAACGCCCATGTACCACTTTACTCGCTGATCTGCGCTTGTTTCACAATGAACTTTCGCTGTCACATTGGCAATATTGTTTGGTGCTCTCAGGCATTCTTCGTGCATGATATGTGGCCAACAAGCAGACTGTACAGTGAACTCCCTATCTTGGTGTGCATTGCCGAAACTCACATGTGTTTCACAATCAGTAGCTTGTTCAACCAGCCCCACTGAACTAGGTCGACATATGACCGCAATATCTGGTCAAGTGTCCATTTGGCCCGTCCAGTGGTGCCGTTAGTCTGCAAGTGGCACGCACATCCATATGCGATTGTGTCCACAGGAGTTTCCACAAAGTCTTGCAGAAATGATCCATGAAACATCGATGACGGCCATTCGCGATCTGCTTCAAGAGCTCAAAATGTTCTACAGAACGATTTGCCAATTGGGATGCAGCGAGTTCGGGCTTGTGTCTCTTGAGGTCCACATGGGTCACCAGCATTTGGCACGGCAGAGAAGTGCCGCTGCCGTTCTGCCGCCTTAGTTTCCACCAGATTTTGCACTGGAAGCTTCTTCTGCTCTTAAAATAAATGGGAAGTCAAACCCGATATGCACAAGCAGTGACGCTTTGACCTGTGGAAAATGAGAATGGGAGTGCATATTTCATGAGGAGGTGATCAGTTGTGTGTATTGGCTACAAAGACGTTGAACAACTGGCCGCGAGTGTCCGTAGTCTTCATTTACACAGAATCCTACATGAGCATGAAAACCAGATGCAGTTTACGTGCCTGCATGCAGAGCGTTCTGACATTCGAGGGACAGGCGCTGTCCCCGACACACACTCGCGTTGTTGTCGACCTGTGTGTTGCGCGAGGATGTCACGATTTGGCACACGGATGTCCGTCGTATATTAATTCATGGGTTGCACGGACAAGATCGTTGACGTGGCTGATGGCAACTGTGAGTTTGATGGACTGGGATGAAGCTCGCACTGCGGGATGGTCGGAGCTGGTGCGTTGCCATAGCACCTCAGGTACGTATCTGAGGCACCTTGAAGCGAACAAAGAGTTCAGTGTATACTCTGAATTCTTCTCTCGTTCTTGGTTCCGAGACGGAAGTCACAAGGATCCGAGGTTGGGGCACACATTGTGCTGTTGCAGATACTGCGAGTGCAGTCAAGTGCATTGGTGTGGCTCGCAGGCATCCATTTGTGGTGGTCGCGACGACATATTGTGAGCGGAACCAAATCCGTTGATGTGACTCGCAGGCATCCATTCTGGTGGTCGCCGCGGCCCATGCTCAAGCCCCTTTCGCAAGCTATGCGCATCTGGCGAT